TTTTAAGTTTCCCCCTCGAGTTGCGACCCAAATATTCTACTTCATTCCATTCCACTGCCACTGCCACTGCCCCATCCTCAATAGTTCTGCTCGCGAAGGCGAAATCCCTTTCAATCCCATCCAAATGTGTCTTTATTTTATTTTTTTGTACCATCTGTCTGTCTGTCTGTTTGACCTGCATCAAAGTTGTTAATTCTTAATCTTAGCCCGTAGTCTACTATGTTTATGTGTATCTTTATCTTTATCTTTATCTTTATATATGTATCTTTATGCGTATCTAATGTAATGTATTTTTTTGTCTAATTGAGCATAATTGTTAGTTATGTTTGTGTGTGTACATAAAAGCGAGAAATCGACAAAAAAAACCAATCAGCTGTTAAATGTAATCTTAAACCTAAATAAAAACTACATAAAAACCCAAACAAAAAGTCCTACACTCATTTTCTCATCCCTCAAGCTGTCTCATACTTGGTATAGAGCGCATTTAGCAGCGTGGTAAAGGAGCCAGCTGTCCTGAAGATCTGTGGACATTATTGTTACATAAATTATTCCCTTCCGGCATCTTTGACTCACCCAAACGAGCAGAGGCCTGCCCAGGTCAAAGAAGTAGGCGCCCAGCACCATTTCGCTTTGGGCACGCTGCAGGGGCAGCAGCAGCAGCCTTCGATGGCTCGGGGAGAGCCGCTGCCAGGGCATCACCTGGTATAGATGCCGCGAGAAACGCTCCGCCTCAAGGCGCACCTGCTCGGCGCCAAAGAGATAGATGCACAGCTGCGTGGTCACCACCATCGAGAAGAAGCCGAGAAAGGCAAAGTTCTGGTCCGTGTGCGGCATGATGTACTGACAGATGACGGAGCAGTAGAGCACACAGATGACCAGCACCTCCACGAAGGCGATCTCCCGGAAGGCCTCATTGAAGCGTGCCACCAGTGCCAGGAGACGGGAGTGCTGGGCAAACAGTTCGGCCAGGCCCAGGTCCGAGCGGGATGGATCAGACTGCAGCAGGTGAGGCTGAAGCTGGGCGGTGAGGCGGCGGTAGTGGGAGCTCAGGGCCAGGGCGAACCAGCCGTACAGTGTGTCCACCCCAGTCGTGGAGCAGCAGAAGAAGGTCAGCACAAAGACCATCAGGCAGCAGTCCAGGGCATAGATATGCGGCTGGGTCACATCGTAGGGGAGTCTGTGGATGGGGTTGGGCAGAGGACAATTATCTGAGCTGATCCGATGGTCTGATCCGCACTTACAGCACACGAAAAGAGCTGACCGGCTCGAACCGGTCCGTCTGGTAGAAGCGCAGCATGGTCAGGGCCAGTGGGACCAGGAGAAAGGAGACGCTCGTTCCGGCACACATCAGAAAGTAGATGGCAGCCAGCAGCTGGCCGCGACGCACCACTCGGCTGGGTGCGGGCTCCTGCAGCTGGTGGATGAGCGAGATGAGATCGCGGGACTTGGCCAGGAAGATGGTCATCTTGAGCAGTGAGGAGATCATCTGCAGGCCGTGCATCAGCGCCTCCGAGCAGAGCACGATCTGGTGGCGATGGTGCACCATGAAGGCGCAGACGGTGCACAGCTCAAAGCTGGTGGCCATCACCATAATCCCATATAGAATGGGCCTACGCAGAACGTCATCCTCACTGCCCGCCAGCGGCTGCAAGTCGAGGCCCATGCGGGCGAAGGTGAACCGTTGCGTCCACAGATCCGCGAGAGAGACGGCCAGTAGGTTGAACATTTCGATCCAAAATGAGGACTCCACGAATGAAAATAAAAGAAAAGAAAATAAAAGAAAGGGTGTCAAAAGTATTTCCGGCTATCGCTAAGATAATGGTTTGGGGTTGGAAAACTTCATAGACTAATTGGTCCCGTAAGTACCCCATTTAATTTGCGTTGCCTGCCCCCCGCGTTCCACACAGCGGATAAACTTGGTCTGCTCTGGCGCGGCCTGGAAAATGATTTAATTATATGCCAGAGGCGTCTGTCCGTCTAAACGTATTGGCCACCAGAGCACCGAGAACCGGGCAGCCAGCTTGGTGGGCACAGTGGTTGACAAAAAATCATGTGAATATTACGGTCAGTGTCCATCTGGAGGGTAACAGATGGCCCCAATGGTAATGCCTTAATTAAAAGACGATGCTCCATTTATAAGAGGCCTTCGACACAGGCAACGACATTCAATCCTTAACTTCAACTTCAAATAACTTGGCACACGTGGCACAGAGATCATAAGCTGCCGCCATTAAATCAGGATAACTTCGGACCGCGAGGCCTGGCATAATGGCGGTAATTAATATATTCGAAGCATTGCTAATCCATCTTCATCCCTCAATTTCAATAGTGATCCTTCCCCTGAGTAACTTTATGTTGAGTGCATTCCCAATAGAAACAAGTGGCGTCGGTGGTGTAATGGTCAGCATAGTTGCCTTCCAAGCAGTTGATCCGGGTTCGATTCCCGGCCGACGCATAACAAACTTTTTTCTTCTTGTCTCCTTTTTTTGTTGTTTTTGTTTTGTTTTGTTTTCTGTTTTAGTTTATTCTGCAGAGCAATGATCAGTCTGCAGTTAACTTTTGGCATCCCTCGGCCTTCACAGCTTGTCCCACTGTGCGCTCGTCGTGGCTAACGGTATCACATTGCTGCTGGTCTTACGACTGGTCCCACTGCTTCGACTGCTTGGTCCCCCCACATGCAGTCGCTCTCTCTCTCTCTGTCACAGTCACTCTCTCAGTTGCAGTCGCAGTCGCCGTCGCAGTCATGGTCATTGTCCGCTAGCGGTTCTTACTGCCGTGGGCCAGCCACTGCCATTACCTTTGCTGGTGCTTTGAGAAGTTGGCTACTGACTTTGCTGGTCTCTGAATGCGTTTCTTTATCGCACAATTCCCGACTTTGGAAAATGTTTTGACATTTGGAGGCTGGCACTTAATTTACGGCCTCACCTTAGTCTTAGTTCCACCAGCACAACAACAGCGGAGAGAAGTAAGCGGCAGCACTCGTACTTGTACTCGCGCTCGCGCACAAACTTATGTATGTACATATGTGTGTGTACATGTGCATGTGAATGCCAAAGCCAAGACCCAACTTCCATCTGTTGCACGGCAAAGACTGGGTGCGTATGGTGAGACAGAGAGCGAGAGAGAGAGAGATCAGGTTCGAGGTGCACTCACTCTCATTGCAGCGATCTGTTTGGGTAAGTATTTCAATTAACTGAACAAAACTGAGTATGGAAAACTGGAGCTCCGGCTCGGTCTCGCCTCTGGTCTGATGAAAAATGCAATTATAATTAATAATTAACCAACAATTGCCGCCCATTTGGAAGGTGGATCGTGGGAAAATGCATAACTAGTTGGAGACGGAACAAATGCTTAGAAACTAGAATTTATTCTTGAGTCTAGAATCTCAGAATCTTCGCATAAAATGTATTACAAAATCCGTCAGAGTCCGCATCCCCCGCGATGAATCCACTGTTCCAATCAGCGCGGTATTTAAGCTAATTAATGGGATTGGCCAGCGACTCAAAGCAATTGGATTCGACTTGCAAATGCTTTAATTAATTAATATGCACAATCCACAGCAATTAAAATGTGCAACAATAATGTACATATGAGCAAAAGGTGTGCAAATGATGAATTGACTGGAGGGAGGGTGACCTCTTTGACTGTTCCGAGTAGTTCCATTCTCCTTCTTACAGGGTAACCAAATGTCATGCCGCATACTCTCCAGCTCGTACACGTAGAGGCACTCCTACCTGGCAGCTCTTTAAGGCCATTTGTCAACGCGCCCTGCCAAAATAATGGGAAAACAAGCGAAAATTAAATCGGAAAATTCTTTATTCCATAGGAGAACCATGTCCAGGGGAGATGCAAAGCAAAAACAAAACAAAAAACTCTTGAACACCCACACGGCCTGTCGGCAGTCGGCAGTCGGCAGTCGGCTGTGGCCTGAGGTCTCTTGTTTCGACGGTTTCTCGTGTTGCTAATAAACCCCGGGCCACGAAACTTTGACTCTCCAGCTGAGAAACTTCAACTCGGACAAATCTGGCGACAAGCTAACACACAACATCGAAGCGGCAAAAGGTTTCTTTCACACACACACATACAGCACACACACACACACACTCACACTTCTTGGCACTGGAATCCGTCGTTCCGTTTCTGGCCTTATTTTTGGTTAAGTTTTTTCCTTTCTTGGGCCTTTTGCTATTTGC